TCCTCGAGAAAGACCATTCTCAACGGAACAGCTTGTGAGAAGGGCGTATGAAGGTCTTGGACATCCCGGAAATGAACGACTAGCCAGGATTCTTCAAACTGCCAATGCATCCAAGAAGGTGATTGACTATGCTAAAAACCTGGTTTGCGCTACTTGCCAACAACATGAGCTAGCCCGACCCCCTCGAGCAGCTGCGCCACCAAAAGAATTACCACCCAACCATACCGTTGGAGTTGCCTACGCCGGGTAAGAAGAGAAGAATGGCCCTCAACATCGTACGCTGGTCGACTCGGTTTCAAATGGTGATCCCACTTCGAAGCCATACGGCGCCTGACACCAGAGGAGCCTCCTTGGAATGGGTCAGATTCATGGGGGTCCCCAAGGGTCTCTTGGGAAAGAATTCTGTTCGGCGTTCCAAGATGGAGCAGAATTAGATGAAACCATTGTGGAACCCAGCGCATTAGAGACGCCGACCCAAAGATCGATTACTGAGAGATTCGGGAAGACTTTCAAGGAAATCCTCATCAAATCCATGGAGACCTATGCGGTCCAGAACGACGCCGAGTGGAGGGACCTTGTGGACATCGTGAACATGACGGTCAATCGACTAGTGAACAAATCAGGCTTCTCTCCAGCTCAAAGGCCATTGGGCTACACCCCGAAGATACCGGGTGGACTTCAACTCCTCGCGAACGAAGAACAAAAAGAACGGAATTGGGGGGGAGATCTGCAGATGCAAAGAGCACAAACAATGAGGCTAGCAGCAGCAAAGGCATTTCATGAAATCGAACGCCAACAAGCATTGAAAAACTCTCTACATGCCGGACGACGTGACGGACCAGAATTTGAAGTTGGACAAACAGTTTACTTCTGGCGACGAGCTCGGGGAGATAAGGCTAGCCAAGAGAACACCCGCTACTGGAGGGGACCAGCTAAGGTGGTCCTAACATCACCGCCTGGATCAATCTGGATCAACTTCCGAAGACACATTGCGAAAGCCGCTCCTGAACAACTGCGCCATGCCAGTGAAGAAGAACATCTCTCACTATCCTCCTGGGTGGAGGGCCTATCCAACCTTCGACGTATCATGTCAGAAGAACCAAAATTGGCTCCATCGACCTCACCAAGGAATACAACAGTGAAGAACTGGACCATGAATTGGAAGATGCGGCATCAGACCCCCAAGAACAACACCTCAAAAAGCCTAGATACAAGATAGAGGGTAAAACACCGCACCAACAAGTTGAGGCCCGACCAGAGGAAGACGAACGGATGTGGAACGAATCCAAAGGGGTACTTGCAAGATTTCACGTCAACTTCCGACAGCAGAGCTTCAAACCTACTGACGTGGACAATTGCCCCATTGGCTTTATAATCGACTACAACCTCAACGGAGGAGGACCACCATGTACTTTGAGGATGGGCACATTGAAGAGTTCGTTGACAACTGGAACGAAGAGATCAAACATCAACCTCAAAGATGGAAAGGTCGCACGGAATTTCAACTGGACTGCAAGCCACTGCCATGGGAAGAAGAGGATAAGTCAAAGGACTCAAGGTCACACCAGAAATCAAGATGCCAATAGAAGAAGACTCAAGCAAAGAGGGGGACAAGAACTAGAAGGAGTCTAAACGTCCAGAAGAAGATCAAGTACAAGAACAGGTAGAAAAGAAAGCAAGACATACGGAGGAAGAACAACATCGAGGACAAGTACGACCCCTGGAGAACGAGGATCAGGAAGAGGAAGAGGTGATCAAGAAACGACAAAAGATTGACTGAACGGAGATCATGTTCCAGACACTCATCCCGGAGATGAAGAAGATCAAAGGTCAAAAAGAAATCAAATTGAAAGATCTGCTCCCATTTGCAAGGGAGACGTTCCTCAAAGCGATCCAGAAAGAGGTCAACAATAACATCAACACCGGAGCGTACGAGATCCTATCTCCCGAAGAGTTGGAAGAAGTTCGAAGAACAGGTTGCAACATCCTCCAGTCCCGCTACGTCTTGGTTGAGAAACGGATCGAGCCCGACGAGGTCACACCCATCAAGGATGAGGGGCTACTGATCTAGGGAGATGAACATGGAGGATTCAAAGCGAAGGCCCGACATGTCATGAAGGGTTTCAGTGAGCCCGACTCTGAATGGCTAGAAGCGGCAACTCCACAAGTCGCTCCCGAGACCGTCCTCCTGGTCCTACAGACATTGGGTTCATATCAATGAGAACCTGGATATTTGGACTTCACCCGAGCCTTTCATAGTGGAGACGAGATCTCTCGTTTGCTCTTCGCGGAACTCCCAAGCGAAGGCCTTCCTGGAGTAAAACTGAAGAAACATTGCTATGGGTTGCTAGATGGTCCATATCAATGGTACGTCCACCTCCAAAGCACACTCAAACAATTTGGCTACGAACAATCTCAAGCAGATCCCTGCTTGTTCATGCTCTTCAAAGAAAACCACCAACAAGGACAAGACGAAGAACAAGGACGACGGATTGAGGGCATCATCGGTGTGGCCACGGATGATCTACTTCATGGAGGAGGCAAACGTCATGGGGACAACATGACTTGGGTCCAACAACACTACAAGCTAGGAAAGCTCACCAAGGGAGATGGCCGATCTGTTGGAAAAGAAATTCAATGTTTGGAAGATGGACGGATCAAGATCCACCAGAACATGTACGTCAAAGAAAAGATCAAAACCATCCCCCTCAACAAGGAAAGAAAGAAAGAAAAATACAACCTTTGCACCGACGAAGAAATCTCAGAGCTTAGAGCTCTACTTGGGTCTCTTGCGTGGCTAGCAAAAGAAGCAAGGCCAGACCTGATGGGTAGAGTATGCACCCTTCAACAATGCATGCCAAAACCAAACATCCGTGATCTGATCGAAGCCAATAGCCTGGCAACCGAAGCCATCCACGAGATTGAGCGTCATCATCGCACCGATACCACCCGAGAGCCTCAGAATTGGAGCTGCATCAGATGCTAGCTGGGGCAACACACCGTGCCAAGAGCTCGAAGAAAGCAGCAAAGACTTCTGGGAAAAAAAGGGGGATCTGTGGATTAGACACCATGTCCAACCCCAACACTTGCTATTTCATCCAGGAGCTGATTCCAAAGGACCACAAATGCACGACTTAGAAGCGGAGAGAGCCACTTGGGTCGATGGAGAATTATTTGAGGGCACTTGGAACCGTCGACAAGACTTTCGAAGGCATGGAGAGGATGAATGGAAAGGACACACCGTCTTCGCGAAAAAGAGGGCCAGAAAGAACAAGATTGAAATCCATGAGCGGTTCCTGCAAGTTGGTCGAACACAAGGTGGACACATCGTCTTCGCCTTTGACAAGGCCCTCGAGACAGAGCAATCACCAAAAGCCTTGTCCATCCTGAGTTGGAAAAGCTATATACATAAGTTGAAAAGATGTACAGTACCACACTGGCAGCAGAGGCTCAAGCCATGGTGCAAGGAGTTGGGGCATCCTATTGGATGAGGTTCCTATGGACAGAAATCCAGAATGAAGCTGGTCAACTGGCAAGAGAAGATCCGACATACTCCATTCATTGCAGCAACGGACTCTCGCTCCCTGTTCGACAATCTAAGCAAGTCCAAGAATGTTGCGGCCCACATAGAGGACAAGCGCGCGGCAATTGACTTGACCATCCTCAAAAACGACATGGTCGCCACCAGAGGACAGATTAGATGGACGCCGGGTGAAATCATGGTTTCGGACTCTCTTACTAAAAAGGGCCCCTCGGTGTTCCTCAGAAAGATCACGAGAAATTCATGTTGGACCTTATGCGAGTATGGTGCAAGAGCACTAAAAGCTATGTTTTGACCAACATAGATTTGGAGCAATGTGAATCTGATGGTAAGCTCCATTGGTCAAAACACTTGCACAAAACGAGAAGTGTACACTTGCCGGTGCTCGAGACTGGGCAAGGACCCTGCGTGTTGGCCGATCGAAAAAGGCTTCGATCGAGCGACGCTATCCACAATATTGTATATGGAGGCTCTGGCCAGTCCTTCTCGAGGGTCGAGTCAAAGCTCCTTCTTCTGGCTTTTCTTCCAATTGGCCTGCCTCTGAATGACATAGGCATGGGCTTTCAAACGCTTCAAACGCAAAAAAACAAGTCTGCATGCACAAGTGGAAAGTACAAGGAGGGATCGGGATCAACTATGTTTGTTTCTACTCTGTCGCGCTAGGATCAAACTAAATCTGTGACTATGTCTTCCAAGCGGCTTGTCAACCCAGCAGTGTTCGTCGTTGAGAAATTCCGTATCTACAGCAGCTTTGGCTGCAGAGTGGTGAGCTGCCTTTTTTGTTCCACAAGCCTCTCCCACAAATGGACCTCCTGCAAAGTGTTCAGCTTCCACAGACGATTGAAAAGCAGGAGGTTGGGCTGAAGCGTACAGGTCATCTGTTGTGAATCGAGTCTCATTCTTCTCAAGAGGCCGCCCAATCCGTCTTGAAGTCAACATGTAGAGTGTCCCGATCCAATTCACTTTGTCGTCCTCAGGTCTTGCTGGACGTCGGTGTGTATCATCTTGTTGGGATCGGGCTTCCTCACGTTCTTCTGCTGCTGCTTCTGCTTCCTCATCCTCGTTAGATTCTTGACTTTGTACGATTTCAACACGCAGTGAGAAGGCCCTGTCCCTGAGCTTGCATCAGTGTTGAGATCCATGAAGCCATCAACAAGGGCCTGAACTCTTCGACGCAGCTCCCAGCGCCACAACGGACTGGTGTCATCTTCAACTTGACGTCCATTGCGCTCTCGACTCCGAGAGCGTTTAGTGCGGCTTGTGGACCTTCGCGGAAGGAACCTCTTCACTGCTGGGAGCCAAAAGTAATGATCTTTAACCGGTAGAGGCAATGTTGGTCTAATTACAGTTTGTTTTTCACAGTCGATAGGAAAACATTGTAACTAGCGAATTGCATCGTACTATCGAACAAGGCATGGAACTGCAATCAATCTGGTTTGCCTGAAAACAGCACCAAATCTACAACAACAGCTGGTGAAGGCGTGTCAAAACTGTAAAACTGTCGGACACTGAAACAAACAAACAAACAAACAAACCGGAGAAGGATTGAAGCGCCCGCTCTCGACCTTTGGCAAAGTGGCTGAACTCCGCTCTCTTGGCGAAACGCCCGCTAAAACCCGCAAGGCTCGTCACAAAAGATGTGGTCCTGTGCATGTTCCTCACTGAAAGCCTGCCTGAAAAGCAGAGTGATCCAAGCACTTAGAACAGCTTGGCTTCATGATTGTTGGACGCAAAAAAGTAGAAAAAACAGAAAGCCCCTCGTGCCCGTATGAGTAGCTTAGAAGCAGTCGAGAACCATATACGCGCGCGCATTTATTTGTGTGAGTGTCTTTGTCAGCGAATAATTGTGGGCAGCGTGTATGTTCGTGTGAGTTGGTGTGTGTGTGTGTGCGCGTGTGAAGCCCATGACATCACTAGGGCCCTTGGTTTCTATCGCTACCTTTTCTTGTTGGATGCCCTCAGCCGCGGAGCGCGGAATGAATGTGGGACGGCACTCAACGTACCCGGCGTACCTGCACCTGAGTTGTGAATGTTTTAGCAAGGTCTTCAGGCTGATGCGCTTTCGCCGCTCGCCCTTTCTCTATTGCGACGTTTCAGCATTAGAGCCTTTGGAACTTTGAAGTTATTGCACTTACAACAAATTTTCACATGGTTGGATCCCTGCGCATGTTTCCGTATTGGTCGGTTGCGCTAAGGCGCGGCCGCTCTGGGCACGCCAGGAAGCATATATGGTCCTGCAGGCACTCGTTCAACTTCTGTCACGGCCTCAAACTTCCTGCAAAGGTTCGTTGAGACCTGACGCCAGGGCATACATGGAGCAGGTCATAGACCGGAATTGCGCCTGAAACAGGAAGCAGGTGGCGGATTTTTTAAATTAATTGCTGAGTTCTTGTCCGGCCCGCAATGATAGTTCCATGTGCGCTGTACCCCTCACATACTTTCACAAGCTAAACAACCCAGGTTTTACAAGGAGGTTTAAAGTTTTTGTCCTTTTCGACCCCCATCTAGTTCCCCCTTTCATCTGCCACCACCACATACTGTTTCCCCTCACGTTTTAATATTTTTCCGTCTTCACATCCTTTCGCCTCATTTCGTTGTTTTCTTTGTGCATACATCGGCACTGACCTTACGCGCACATAAATACTTATATAACTTAACTAGGTCAGGTCTCCCTAGGTGCACTCAATCAGTTTTGGCTGATCTTTTGATTCCCTTCACCCCGTTCCCTTCGTTGGTGCTGCCCACATTGCGCACGTCTCTCATGACCTCTTTTCACGATCTGTATTTCCCGTTGTCGTTGTTTGCACGCGCATCGTTCAATAACCGCTGAGCACTTGAATTTTGCTTCCCGTGACGTGTGTGAAACCCATGGAAACACTGGGGCAAATTGGGGGCCACAGGAGGGCCGCACGATCTCAAAGTCGTGCCCTCCACGTCGCATAGGCCCAGCCATGAGTCTTGGGCTCTGTCCGCTTCCGCGGGTCTCCTTCTCTTCCCTCCAACTCTCCTCACATTTACTTTCATGACTTGCTGCGCCGCGAGCTGGCCATAGATCCTGAGGCTTCTCAGGAGCACCTCAGCAAGCATGGTCAAATGGAGGTCAGCAAAAACAGGACCCATGTCCCACCTTTAAACAGGGAAGGGGCACGTGCACTTGTACACGGAACCCAGGTCTGAGGTCGCCCAGGTGGTTGTTTCCTTTTCACCGCAACCACATACACTGTCCTGTCCTGTCTCCCTCTCCTCATCCCTTCATCCTTTTGTCCTTTGCGCGCACACGCACCTTAGTCTGGACCCTAGTTTTGGCCCTGTAGCAGGATGATTGAGGTCGGCAGATGTGAGCTTTCGGCGTCGTTCTCGTCGTGTTTCTCGAATTCAAGACTTCCGCCTTTGAGATTGGGTCAGACTGCCTTACATATTTCTAACCTGACTCCTTAGGCTGTCATACCTAGGTGGGCGTGTGGCAAGTGGCTTTCAGTTCCGTACGAAGGTGCGTGCGCCAGCGCACCTTGGATTCAGAGATTACAGAGGTTACCCGTTGGCAATTTGTAGGGAGTCCTTTTAGGCCCCAGCTGGTAGATGAAGATTCTTCAAGCATCTGTTGCAGCCTTGATCAATGTTGTGGCAGCTTCGTTATGTTCCACATCCTTCACCTCTTTCTGAAATCCGATTGCATTCCAGATAGAAAAGAGAACAAAGCTCAAGACCACAGAGACTTTCCAATCTGTGTATATACACTTGCCTGTGTTTGGATTAATGGACAATGTGTTTCAACTTTGCAGGGGCATCACCACCAAGAGCCTGGTGGCGTGTGCTGAAAACGAGCCTGGATCTTAACTAATCAATTTCTCCTTGGTCCCTGCTGCCAACTACAAGAAGACTTCGTCGCACTTTTTCACTTAGACTTGCGAGTGGCATGAGGCTTTCAGTTCGTACGTTCCATTTCCCGAATGTGTGTGTGTGTGTGCGACGGGAGGGGAGCGGCGAGGGCAGGACGTGGAGGAGGAGGCGGTGGAGGACTGGGAGGCCCGAAAACAAGTAAGAACCCCACACTAGCATGTGGGGGACTAGGTGACTAGAAGAAAGTCAAGCTTTTCATTAATTGCTATGCTGGAAAGGCAAACCGCCAACCATCAGCCTAGATCTAGCTTTGCTAGCTGTTGTTTTGATGGATTGAAAGCATTGCCTGCCACATGTGGAACTTGGCCTCATGTCGTCAAAGATCCTTCCCTCCGCAAATCCGAATCTAAGCATCTCTGATCCAACCTCATTGCAAAAAGACTCATTGTGAGCAATAACAGCAGTCACAACATCAAAGTCCGTGCCGCCGTCTGGAAAGAAACTAGTAACTAGTACTTTCACAGATTCAGGCCTGGTCTGTGCTGTTCACCTCAAGCCTTTGACAGGCGAAGCTGTCAAGCTCAAGCCCAGCAACACCCCTCACTGGAATGGAGACTTGAAAGCACCAACCGCTTGATATCACTTGCCTGTCTCCTAGCTCGTGGCGTAGCAAGACTTTGGCATCAGAAGAGAAGGCCTGAGGAAGCCGTGCAAAATAAAAAGAGATCTAAATAGAGTCTATGAGTTGGAGACAGCACGGCGCAACTGTCTGAAGGCTTCAAACGGATCATCTACAACCTGAAAGCAAGCTCAAGCTGAAACCACACAAGCAAGCTCAGGTATACAGCCAAGCTCCAATGAATCAAAAGGCCAAGCCTTCACATTTTCTCCGTCGTCAACGGACCTGAGAGAACTCAAACCAAAAAATCAGCCACAAGACTGTGTTCAGTCCAGGACTCGAACTTGGAAAAAGCACCACGTCGCCTGGACTCAAAGATCAAACAGAATCAATCACCTTTTTTCGGCCGTAGTGAGCTTAAGTAGCTAGCAGCTAGCTAAGCAAGAAAGAGTAGCGAGTAAGCTACGAAGCTGCTACTACGGACGCAGGAAAGCTCACGCACTATTCATGTGGCTGCGAGATTTAGAGAAACTTCATGAGAGAACCACTATCACTACAGTGGCACACCAGCAAGCCTCTGCCGTTGACGCCCTCTATCGGCAAACTCTATTGCCCCAATGTGTCCTAGAACTCCAACAAGAAGCGGCCTGAGTCCCAGTTCTAGAACAGCGTGTGCCACCAATCCCGAGCTCGCTACACCAAGAAAATATATAGATCAAAACCTGTCTGCCCATGCCTGATCTCTCCAGTGGACTGAGATCTGTCAACAGTTACAGAAACTCAACTTTGTCAGTATATGGCCTAAACAGTCGTAGGAGAAGAACCAGAAATACTACGAAAACTGGGGAGCGGAATCCAGCAACAAGGAAGGGCTGCAGGCAAACACCATACAAATGCATTCACCGCTGGCCCGCAAGTCAGCCTTCCTCTGAAAGCACGCAAACCCAATCTTGCAATGGCAAGCGATGTCTGAGGCCTCTACAGCAAATCACTCTCATGCGTACTCTTAAGCTCCTGTGTTGCAGCTCAATTGGCTCAAACACGGGGTCAGAACACTGTTCCCATTTCATACAAGTCCTGCAAAAGGGCGGACCCGCATGCAGAGAAATCCCTTGGTCCACTTTGTGTGTGCACTTGGGAGTCACATCTCACAAGGAACACGGAACACATGCGTGCACAAGCAGCTGCCATGAATCAGAAATTAACAGAATGTAAAAATGTAAATTTGCTGAAAAGACAAACAAATATGTATATTCTTTATATGTTAAATGGAACGTTTACGTGTCACTGGACGAAGGTGCCTGCATTCAAAGCGCTGACAGGAATGGAAGCTCCAGACTTGTATAAGACTGTATTCGCGGCGTGTAGTGTAAATACGAAATCCAGAACAAAAGCGCCTAGAAACAAAAACCTTTGGCTACGGCCTCCTTCAATCTGCGCAGTGTGGACCCACATGCAGGTCGCTCGTAAAAGTGGTGTAAACAAAACACTTCTGCACGGACAAAAGGGTACAAACTCCCAAGCTCTCAGTCCCTGGCCCTGCAGCAGCAAGCTCCACAAAACTCAGTCACAAAGCCGTGCTGGTTGGCGAAGGTGCAGGATTGCATAATGCTCAAGTGCACACAGTAATTGTGTTGAGCTGCTCTGCTGGCATCGCCTCGACACCTATGCGATAAATACTGAAGGCTTCAGTGCGCAACATTTAAAGACTTTTTGGAATCGCCGAACCAACAAAAGGACTTGGCTGCAAACCTTCCTTCTTAGTCAACTTTGTCGAATGCATTCAAATTAGTGTGTATGTGTGTCGGGCTGCTTGGCGCGGTATGGTGCCGTTCAGCAGGTTTATTGTTGTTTCGACTCCCCTCAACCAAAAACAGTTCCCAAACCGCATCACATGCGGTAAACTGATCTCGGCACAATGAAGGAAAAGTTGTCAAATCACAAGAGATTTGACGACTTGTGGTATACGGACACTTGACACTGACCGACAAACAAATATATTCCGGCCTTCTTTGCTTGCCACGTCTGCCCTGTTGTCGCCAATCATTTCGCAACATCAATGGCCACAATACTGGCTAACAAATGGTACATGCACAACCTTGCAACCAACATGACTTGCAATGAAAATGCCTTGGTGGTAGAAAAAGCTCGCCACCCAACGGTACCAAGTCAAGTCCTTCTCCTGGTTGAAGTGCCAAACAAAAACACCACACCACACGCAGTTCTTTGCATGGATGGTGAACGTGCCTTGATCTGCTTGCTTTGGCAAGGGCCTCGGGGGAGTGCTGTTTTAATTGACCATGATTTGACCCTTGGTGTATGATCGAAAAACCTCGCTTCTCTTGATAAAAAAATGATTGGTGCCGGGCACTGTTGGCATATCATGAGAAATCATTGCGAATTGTGTTGATCGCTCTTTAATCTTGGTTCATTGCAGAATCAAGGTGAAAACTAAACATCACAAAACCATCTTTTGTTGGTTTGCTGGTCTAATCGGTAAGCCATTTTGAATGTAAACATAAGGGGCAACTACATAGATCTTGTTAAGCCAAAAAGGCTGGGGTTGGAGCTTTCACACACAATGTTTACCTCAGGCATTCCTCTCTATCTATGTTGGCACAATCCGTATGATTTTGAACTATGTTGTCGTTAATGTTGTGAACACTTGTTTTGGAAGTTTCTATGTTCTAGCCAATGTTGTGGAAAATGGTTTTGGAAATTTCTATGTTGTCGCCAATGTTGTGGAAAATAGTGAAAATGGTATTGAACATGTCAATGTTGAGCCAATTGTGTGGAAAATGGTTTTGGAATTTTTTATGTTGTCGCCAATGTTGTGGAAAAATGTTGAAAATGGTATTGAACATTGAACATGTCAATGTTGTAGCCAATGTTGTGGAAAATGGTTTGGAAATTTCCATGTTGTCGCCAATGTTGTGGAAAAATGTTGAAAATGGTATTGAACATGTCAATGTTGTAGCCAATGGTGTGGAAAGAGGTTTGTTATTGTTGTTGGAAATGAACCTTGGAAATTTCCACGTTCCAAGGTGTAGCTTGTGGCCCATGGTACAGCTTGTAGAATGGATGATGGTGCGTGTGCTGGATATTGTAAGTTGTTGGAGTTGGGATGGTTGTTGTGGGATATTTTGTGTGATGTTAATTGCCACACTGCCACATGCACCTCTGCCACTGCAACACAAACCCTTTTACACAGCACCGTACCTGGTCGGCGTTGCAAAAATAAAGCTCTACTCGACCAGAGCCACATCATCATAATGTATCATACCTCCCATTGATATCAGCTACTGCCTACTCATCATCCCTGTTGAAGCCTTGGCGTCAAGATCGTCAGTGGTCTTTTAGCCATTTGTGGCATGATGCAAGGATACCCAGTCAAGTATTACAAGTAGTTTGTGAGTTAGTGTCCTTGCTATGAATGACAGTTGTAGCGTTATCGGAAAGTAAACGCTATTTGTATAGTCGAACTGTAAGATTGCCTTGTCTCTAATGACTCTAATGTAAAGTCATGAAGAGGTTTCCGGTAATTTCAAAAGGAACAACCACACAAACCACCGTCGAACAAAACGATTCAAGGAATCCCACCACATACCTGCGAACGGTTCAGAACGCTTCAAATGGTTAAAAAGAACCGAACTGTTCCAAGCTATTTGAAACTACTCTTGAGCTCGCAAATGTTTAAACAGAGAAAACTTAAACATAACAGGAAACATCCGAACGGTTCAGAACAGTTCAGTTCGAGTCCGTCAGCTCAACTTGATTGTCACTGTTTGTTTGGTGTCTTGCAAGAACTGAATTCGCACTTCTTTTCGAACGGGGGTTGTCTCGATCTTGAGATCCCATTTAGTGGAATGGACAAGTGTAATTGTGAAACAGGGGTATTGAACAAGGGGTATTGAACACGAAAAAATGTTTTGTTCAATAGGCATTGAACGGGGTATTGATCAGCATGTTCGCCTGTAGGTGTTCCATACCAAAACCTTTTGACTCACGATAGGCGCAGATCGCTTCACTGGGAATCAAATGCCCCCTCCTCACCCTCCCTTGCTTGAATCCAAAAAGCATCAAATGTCAAAAGTTCAAGACACCCGGGAATAAAAAGGTTATTCCCTAAAACTTCAGTGACAACACGATCACCTACGGCGAACTTAGTCGTCATTGTTTGTTTGGTGTCTTGCAAGAACTGAATTCGCACTTCTTTTCGAACGGGGGTTGTCTCGATCATTCTTCCCCCAATTTGGTTCGAGACCTCCACCGTGTTGACTCAAAAAACGTTTCAAGTTCTCGAACGCAATCAATGCATCTCGTGTCCGTTCAAATTCTGAAGGAAGCCATGGACGCGGGCAAAGCCTTGAAGGGTAGTCCGAAATGTTTGCCTCAGTGGGCACTCTGGCAAACCATGCTTTCGTGTTGCTTTCAACTTTGTTTTCCAAGTGAAACTTAATAAGCAGCTCAGCCCATTTGCCAGTGCATAGCGTACACTGTCATTGTCACCAAACCATACCACAAGATTGCTGCGCAAAACATTTTTCCAGAAGGCCATGGCCAAGACTGCCGCCGCCAGTTCGAGCTCGTAGATTATGGTTTCTTTGTAAGCAGCGCCGAACAGTTCACAATCCTGCGTGCTCAAAAAAAATACAAACCATTGCGAACAGCGGCCTTCCTGGTCAACCAGGACGGCTTCAAGGCCACCAGTTTTGGTCTCAACATGGAACGCGGCATCGGTGTATAGGTACCATTGCGATAATACCTGGTCAGATACTGTGACAGGCTTGCCCTCTTCAAGCCGAGTCTTCATGGCAAGGAGTGCATGCTGTACATCGCAATCCAGCTTCTTTTGACGCGAATAAGCATGCTCACTAAGCCGCTTGAGAACCAGCCTGCCGAGTCTGCCGTGCACAGAGGAGTCAGCAAACCCGAGTCGGCCACGTAATACCAAGGCGTCATGCTTGGTGAGCTCCCCACATTCAACAGCAGAGGTGATGGCCGCTATGAGGTCAATCTTCCTTTGTTCAGTGTTGTAAATTTTCAGCAAGCGGTGTTCCGACATGCTCAAATCAAACTCTACACCAAGAGCCCGGCATGTTTCAGCAAAGCATGTAGCCTTTTTGCCTTCACGTGCATATTGCCATCCCGTCAACATGAACAACAACTCCATGCTGTGACCTGCAGTGCCAGCACTGCCCGGGCGGGCTAGCAGCACGAAGTCATCGTAGAAGTTTGTGTTCAGGAGGTACAGCGCTCTGCAGGCCATTGAGTGCAACATTCTAGCCAGCCGAAGAAAACAGTAGACTTGATGTGTGGCACCAAAAGGAAGAGTTACCAGCTGATATATTCCCGCCTTTTGCTTCTTGCAGTTGTAAATGCTAAAGTACGCATACTTCAGGTGGCTCTCGAGGATCGGAACTTGACGGTATGCGCTTTTGAGGTCAAAGGTCCTTGCTTGTAGTTTGCTGCAACAACTCCGCTCCTTGCTCGGCTTAAAAAACTTTTGCACCAGCGCTCCTAGGGCTTCGATCATGTGGAGGCTTATCTTGGAGTGGGCGACGCAGACCGAATCATTGACTCCACTGACCGAGAAGTCATCGATCATCCTTGTCTTGTTTGTCTGAGCCAGCGGAAACCTACGGGATACGACTGACCCATAGGGTAGTTCGTGCAACTGGAAAGGGCCCCTGGCCCAGCCTTTTTCAAGCTCCTCGATCGAGGGTCTCACCAAGCAACTGCATGTCGAGCTGCTCGTCTCCGGAGGTGGTTGTCATGGCCAAAATTGCCTGATTCCTTTTTGACGCTCCAGCTTCCAACTGATCAAGCGTCAACAAACAGGGTTTGAATTGATCTTCAAAAATCTTGCAACGTTCAATTTCCCCAGCCAAAGTTGCGCCCTCACGGAGGAACTTCGTCACATCTTTGTCCTCATACTGAATGCTCTCCAGGATTTCCGTGAGCAACAACCTCTTCTTGTCAGTGCTATGCTGCGCGTGCTCAGCCCTCTTTGACCTATCTACACGCTCGGCCGCTTCTAGTTCACTAGCCCGCTTCAGCCACTGTCTGCACCAGTCCATCCTGTATCTGTTTAATTGTGCATCATTCCAAGCTAAATGTCGCTCCAAAGCAATGTCCAAGTCCTCCGGGACTCCGAAGTCCGCGGCGGCTGGATGACCCGATTCAGCTGCTTTCCTGATGAAGTTCTCAGGTGTCCACGGAAAACCAAAAACAGCTCTAAAGGGAAACTCATCGGTGACGTCTTCCTTGGAAACAAGCTCTTTAGATTCCTGTAGCGCACCCCCCTGGGATGAGGAATCGGAGGAGCGATAAAACCGAAGCAGTCGTGAGTGTGGTGGGATGGTGAGGGGCTGGTGGGCAAGAGAGGTCAAACAGAGTGAAGCGTGGCACAATTGGAGGAATCTTCTTGCGGTAAGGTTGAAGTCCGATGGCAATCTGCGCTTGCTGAGGTGTGGAGTGTGGGTCCAATGCGAGGTCTTGCAAAGAGGTGGCCAACAACTGAAGGCCATTGGATTGCCCCAGCTGCAAAACAATGTGCGTTAATGCAATGCACAACTTACGGGGATATTGGCTTTCCAAGCTCGTTGCCCAGACTCGCTGCCCCTCTCTGTTGAGCGCGAACGTCCAAGGGGCATGGCTATGAGCGCCATCACATTCAATGCTCATCTGTTGGATCTGTGGAAAGTTGGTAACAATGCGGGTCTGCTTGGCGCGATGGCCTCCAAACATACATGCATGAAAATCCGTGCAAAAAGGGTGTACCTGCTTCCAATGCTGCTTCAAGAAGAAGGAGGTAGCCCAAAAGTGAAAGTTTCGCGGGTTCTCCATAGTCACGAGAATGCCGCGTTGAAAGAGGGCTTCCATGTAAAGTTTCGAACATGACGAATCGACTGGCAAAGCCTCGGAGTACATGACAGTACAAGAAATATACGAACATGACGAATCGACTGGCTGCATGTACTTCATGAGCAAAGCGGATAATCTCAAGGGCAGGCTCCTCCTGCAAGTGTCTCTGCAGATAAGCAACCGCTTCTTGTGGTGTGGCACTGTTAATGATAACAAGGGGCCATTTCTTGACAAGCTGATCAGCTTCTACTGCAGCAACAAGTGGAGAAAAGGCTTCCCTAAGCATAGCTCGAGCATGGGCCACTGGCAGGCCTTTGGGCTGTGTTCCCGACAGCATAAAATCGACCTGCACGATCATAGGCAGCAGGTTTATACCCGACAACTACTTGATGGCTGGCTTTAGTGGCCGAAGTGATATAGTCACTCGCCGCAAACCTACAGTGCGGTTGTTGTTGCAGAAGGACACCAAGCTCTTGTGGCGCGGGCGAGGGACATTCCGTAAGGAGGAAAGCCGGAGCTCTGTCACTTTCACCTTGCTCAATGATGAAGCCAAGCTTTTGTGCAAGCTGGAAGGGCG